CGTCGTTAACGATCGTTAACGAAGGGTCGTCGTTAACGATCGTTAACGAAGGGTCATCGTTAACGATCGTTAACGAAACGACGAATTTTATAAAAACGATCGTTTCGTTTTCGATTTTTCGTCGTCGTTTTCATATCGAAACGATCGTTTTTCTGAAAAATGAAAACGTTAACATTCTACAGAATAGTCCAGGGAATACTCAAGAGAGGTGGCATAAATTGTTTTTTATTTGCATTTATGTATATTTACAACAAAAGAAGCCAAAAATACATATCCAAAACTAAACACGTTTCACACGAGAAGGTAAGTTCAAAAAATACTGGAAGGTACTTTATGCGTTTCATTAGAGTTTGACCTTACGTCCTCTATATTATTTACAATCTGAGTGAAATGATGCAACTCCGAGGATTTGTATTGTCCTTAACGCAACAGATAAAAGTAAATTTAGGAGCGATCAATTTCGAATTTAATTTTATTTTAGTCTGGAACCCCTTTCATTTTTTGCGAACACTCCCAATTAATGTTTACTTACAGCAAGGTATTATGGAGCATTCTTGTCCTAGCTCAACACATACAGGTTGATCATCAGTATACCAAACCTACATATATAAATACAGATATCGGGTTGCAAATATATAAAGATGAGAACAGTTTGTGGAAAAAACTTAATTCCTTTGCAAAAATTAAACATTCATAACAATTACCTTTTGTTCTATGATAGTGAATGATGCTGCCAGGTAAACAGAAAAAACAAGCAGAAAACCCAAACCTAAATTTTAATTTTCTTGACGTTATAAATTGTTTTGCTTAAAGGGACTGTCATCGTCACTTTTAGTGACCCTTTAATTAAAGAGAAGCATGTCCGATGTACAATGGTACACTTGCAACCTTTAGCTGATCAACATTGTTGAATAAACTTCGTGTTAAATTCTGATAAGGTTTTCATTCATTTTTAACAAATCAACTTTTGCAAAGAACCCACAAATTAAAATAAACAGCTTTTGATAAAAAAACGTTGATTAAAAAAAACGAAAACACTTAAAAATTTAATTAAAATTTTTTTAATTTTATTAAAATATTTTTAGAGTATATTTCATTTTTTTGAAAAATTAGTATCTAACAAAGTGATCAAGTAAGATAATTCATTTTGATGTTGGCGCATCAGCAATCATCTTTATAAAACAAACCTTTCGTTAATTGGATCGACCCCCTCTACCACTTTATACATTATACATATAAGCTAACCAGTTTGTTTTTAATCTTCATTCGACAGAAACAATCTCAAGAAATAATATTTTTCTTAAAACATTCTTTAAAAAGTGAATATTTGGAAATTATCTTTTTTCCAACTTATGATCTGAGTTCGTTTCCCCTTTGTATATTTGACAGCCCATTTTAAATTTTGTTTAAATAATCTTTTTTGTTTGTTTTTTTTTCTTGTGGTTTTTAACAACGATTTTGATGGTTATTATATNTTAACCATAACCTACTCTGCGGTCATGTGAGGTCCCACACAAAATTTGGGCCCGATAAATTCAGCCGTTTTGACGTTTTTCGGATACAAACAAACAACCCAAGCAAAGTATATCATTACCAGTTCTTAATCTCATTTTTCTTTTTACAGTTGTTCTTGGGATAAGACCTCAATCTAAACTAGATTCTGTTTCTTGATAAAAAGACTTCAGCATGATTTGATTAAGGAAATTTTGATCAGCTTATCAAATTATATTTTCTATCAAATTTATTTTTCATAATTTTCTCGGGATGGTTAAATCATGTTCATAACATTCAACCTAAAAGAATATAATGTCAGAAGTCTGTCTTAAATCTATCTTTAACCAGGTACTAAATATATTCCCTGCAAATGAGCATTTATTAATTATTAAATTAATTATTTTTTTAATTAATGAAAAAAATATTTTCGTTTAACATATTATTTATATTATGATAAATAATTGGTTGCAGCTTTGTTGTTTTTGAGGCTTTATTACATGTTTAAAGATTCATAGCTTTGAAATATTTATACCTTTTTAGCTTACGTCATTTAATTTGAAATCGATAAAGTTCTATGTTTTGCTGAACAGTTCTACAGTTCTATAGTGGTATCATGGGCGTCATCAATTTTTCTGTCTTTTCTAACCTGTTTACGATTTCATCTAAATTCTAAAATGTAATAAAGAGATTTTTCGTTTTCTTAGATCTTAGTTTAAAAATGACAGAAAAATTTGTAAAATCTAACTATGATTTCTACATAGAGGTAAATTCTTCAGTTTTTAATCTAAACAATGATTTAATTAAAAAAATGAACCTAATCAAGTGTGTAAAGATTATAAACCGCGTCTAGACCCGACTCAAACATGAGACGCGGTTTAATTCAGCTGGAAATTTGAAAAAGTCTTCCGAAGTTTGAGACTGCGCTCAATTGGAACCGGTATTTTGCTTTCACTGCAACGCGGTTCAAATTCTTTAAATTCGGCCTCAGAATTCATAAATGGCGAGAAAGGATGAACCCCTGTAGTTTAACTACAGTGATAACCAGAAAAAAAGTAGGAAGACGACATTTAAGCAATTTTAAAGTGCTTTTAATGGCTCGAGTACAAAAGGTTGAAAAATAAAATTACAAAAGGTAGAATTACAAAAGATAGAACGATCAATAGGTAGAACATTCAAAAGATAAAACATATAAAATGTAGAACGGTCGAAAGTTAGAATTACGTACGGTGAAACATCCACAAGGTAGAATTTTCCAATTTTTGAGAAGCAAGAAAATTTTACAATTTTTGGAGGAAAATCTGCGAAATTCTTTTTTTAATATTCTCAAAACTGCATTCCTCGTTTGAATTCAGCATTTGGTCACCTACAAAACAATGATTGCTACAAAGCGTCGACTACTACTAAGTTAGGTTAAGACAATTTCTGAGCCGAGCGCTGCCTGCTAGGATGGGCTAGGGGGCCGAGCAGTGCCTGCTAGGATGGGCTAAGGGGCCGTGCGCTGCCTGCTAGTATGGGCTAGGAGACTGAGTGCTGTCTCCTAGAATTTGTTAGGGGGCCGAGTGCTGCAGCCTCTAAATGTTCATTGATGATATTTGCTGACTGTTTCACGCTCAGCCCAGAAATTGTATTAACCAACCCTAACCCAAAAGAAGGTGAGAAAATAAACATCATTCAACACTAAGGAGGCCGCAGTGCTCGGCCCATAAATTGTCCTAACCCATCCTAACATAATGTAACATTAAAATTGGAAAATCCTACCTTTTGTAATTCAACATTTTGTTATTTCTACCTTTTGATCATTCTGCCTTTTGAAATTCTACCTTTTTGAATTCTACCTTTTGGAATTCTACCTTTGGGAATTCTACCTTTTGGAATTCTTCCTTTTGTACTTGATCCCATTTGATGGTGATACAAAGCAAATAGCTTTACCAGTAAGTTGTTTAATCACTTATTAAGTAAAATGGGTCTGCTAAAGTTGACTTCCTATTCCAGAGTTTTCTGGTTATCACTGTATGTCTCTCTGTTTCTTAAATCTACTCACAGACTGTATTTGAAGGAGGAAGACTGGAAGCAGTTTAAACGTGCATTTAATCTAATCGACGAGGATAAATCCGGGAAATTAAACATGGCGGAGATGGATCAGCTGATCAGGAGATTTAGGAAAGAAATACAATTTGTTTAAGTTGAAGGTTTCTCCGTGCCATCTATTTTATGTTTATTCATATAAGTTTGAAATAGGATATTTTTGGCGTTAGGTAGAATGTAATTTTACTCCAATTTTCTCTGAGCTATTGGAAGGAAAATATAAATATTTGAACGTCATAGAGCTGGAATAAATGCATGAATCGATTTCACCTTCTTGTTATTTAACGGAGCCCTTTGCGTAATGTTAAGCGACCCTTCATGGAAAGATGACAATGTCCAATTCACAACGGTACCCTTGAAACCTTTATCTGATCAATAATGTGGAAGATATTGTCGTTTTCTACGTTTAAAAGAATTTCATTTCTTATTGTCTTCCTGCAGAAGATATGGGCATGTTATTATGAAGAGAAGACACGATTGAAAATAGTTAGTTTTCAAAATTATATACATTGATTTCCAATTCATACTTGTTTCGACAACGCCATTGAACTTGATCCTGCATACTTTTTTTTTGGCAAGCAATGACAGTATTTTCTAGTTCTTAACAGCTATGGATGTTCTGCTAATTTCTAGATCTTGAAATCTGGAGATTCTAAACTAATTTCTAGACCTTGGCAAGCTATGGCACTAATTTCTAGTTCTTGGCAAGCGCATCTATGGAAGTTTTAAACTAATTTCTAGATCTTGCAAAGCTATGGAAGTTCTAAACAAATTTTTTTATCTTGGCAAGCTATGGAGATTCTAAACTAATTTCTAGATCTTGGTAAGCTATGAAAGTTCTAAACTAATTTTTTGATCTTGGCAAGCCATGGAAGTTCTAAACTTATTTCAAGATCTTGGCAAGCTATGGAAATTCTAAGCTAATTTCTAGATCTTGGATTAAAGACTTAAAGATTGTTGATTTTTCAAAGTGGAGGGATTGATCAGAAACCCTCAGATGAAGAAGTAAGAGAGGTAAGCGATAAAAATTTTCAGAAAAACTTTAATTAAAATAAAAACCTCTTATTTATGTCAAATAAGGCTTGGCCGCTTAAGAAATTTTTTTGAGAAGAAGTCTCTAAATTGTTCAAATGTTATGTTTTCTAACTTTCTGACTTTTCAAACTATCACATGCCCATCACTATCACATGCTTTATTTTACCTATACCAGACTAAGTCTATATTTAGACCTACTTCCAGTTATTGTATTTCAATAAATTATAGCTCTTTGGTAAGCCTATTATAAAAGAAAGGGAATTTGCAAGTCTTCGGTTTTTCTTGAATATTTAGATTTCAAAAATTGTGTAAATGTTTTTGCACATATAAATTCGTTGGGTCAAAAGCTTTTCAAAAATTTACAATTTGTTACAATTTTCGCAATTTATTTTTTTATATGAATTTTCGTATAATTTTGGCACAGTTTTATATCCATTTCTCGAGACAGGAACATCATATAGATGTCGTACATGTATCGTTCAACGCCTGAGATTCTCAGGTTTCATCCTATACCCCCTTTTCTTTTTCCTGTACAGTTCCTTTAATGATTTAGAATAATGGCAAAAAGATCTGAATTGGAGAAAGTTCGAGAAAAAACTGAAGAATTCAAAGATGCATTTCAGGTTAGATGTTAAAGGGACAGACCGGCTATGTAAGGTAATTAAACTGAGTATGCAGTGTTGTGGACAAATTCTTTAGGATTTTTATTTTCTCAACATGTTTTAAAATAACAAGTTAGTTACCGTAAAATTTTGTTTACATTTTTTGTCGTCATTATTTGATAATTAAAAAAAATTATTCTGAAAACGTATCCACCCAAAAATACGATTTTGAACGTCAACTTTGCGCTCAAACTCAGGATTTACAGACCTTTAAAAAGTTGTATATGTCTCAAATACATAGCCGGTCTGTCCCTTTAAACCAAAGTGCAGAAATACAAATAAATGGTTTGGATTGATCTCCGTTCTCAAATATATTGTTTGGTTTGGCAAATCTTGTTTAAGCAAGAAAGTTTGAATTGTTAAAAATTCATCAATATCTATACAGTCGTCTTCTTTACGGGTAACCCTGTAAGTGTCAAAATCAAAATTTGTAAATAAAAGAACAATATCGTTCAAGCAAAAAGCTTAAAGTGCATCTAAGTATCGTATATGAGAATGTTTGACAGATCACAGCTTAACAAATTTGACAAATATTGTGCAACCTAATTTAATGACAAATTTTACATATGTCAGGTGGTAAATGAAAAATCAAATTTTGCTAAATTAAAGCAGAAGGAAACCATTAATAATGCTTTTTAGATCAATATCAAAAAACCACCTCGTGGTCTAACTTTAATGTAAGTTTTTAGGTTTTTGATAAAAACGGAGATGGGTTTATTTCCTCCGATGAACTAAATGAGGTAGAAATTTAATTAATACACAAAAACTCTAAAAAAAAGATATTTTCTAATTTCCATTCAAATCCCTATTGAAGGTTTATAACTCCACATATATAATCTCTACCCGCTTGTGAGCCCTGGAACACATAAAATAAACGATTTAATTTAAAAATTAATACTTTTTTAACGGTTTTGAATTTAAGATCAAACTTTTAATTTCAGCTGGTAAAAATAAAAATTTATTCAACAACTTCAAAAAAAAACTTTTACAACCCCATATAATTCCAATCTACAGCAATTATTTCTTTAAAATTAACTTGACAAGAACTGTACACCTTATACTCGTGTTTAGGCTGTAAGTTTAATTTCAAGTTACCAATACTATCCATGCAAAGAGAGCTCCAAACAGATACATTAAAAAATTTGTGAATTATAGTCAAGTTAGAGATGTGTGTGTGTAAATATATCGAACCGGGGTGTATTCAGCTGAAAATTTCAGTGTGCGCTTCGAACTTAGAGAGTCACTTGACATTACTGTTACAGTCCCTTTAAAGGGACTAAAAATATACATACCAAGTAAAATTATAAGTTCTAAACTAATTTCTAGATTCTGCCAAATAATGGTTCTAATTTCTAGCTTTTACCAAGCTATGGTTCTAATTTTCTGATTTTGCCAAGCGCGCTATGGTTCTAATTTCTAGATTTTGCCAAGCTATGGTTCTAATTACTAGATTTTGCCAAGCTATGGTTCTAATTTCTAGATTTTGCCAAGCTATGGTTCTAATTTCTAAATTTGACCTAGCTATGTTTCTAATTTATTGATTTTGCCAAGCTATGGTTCTAATTTCTAGAATTTGTTAAGCTATGGTTCTAATTTCTAGATTTTGCCAAGCTATGGTTCTAATTTCTAGATTTTGCCATCTATGGTTCTAATTTCTAGATTTTACCAAGCTATGGTTCTAATTTTTAGATTTTGNGGAAGTTCTAAACTAATTTCTAGATCTTGGCAAGCTATGGAAGTTCTAAACTAATTTCTAGATCTTGGCAAGCTATGGAAGTTCTAAACTAATTTCTAGATCTTGGCAAGCTATGGAAGTTCTAAACTAATTTCTAGATCTTGGCAAGCTATGGAAGTTCTAAACTAATTTCTAGATCTTGGCAAGCTATGGAAGTTCTAAACTAATTTCTAGATCTTGGCAAGCTATGGAAGTTCTAAGCTGACTAATGAGGAAGTAGAAGATATGATCCTTGAAGTAGACCAGGGACCAGAATTAATGAAAAGCTAGAAGAAACTGAACCCAGCAGACAAAGCTCAACCACTTCAAGATCTTGCGCGCCGGAAGAGAAGTGATTAAACTATGTCTACTGGGTTCAACCATATATCGCTATTCATTTATTCTGGTCCTGCAGGATAAAGATGGGAAACTAGATTTCCACGAGCTGATAAAGGTATATTTGAATTAAAGGAAAAAGCAAAAGTTTCAACTGACTCTCATTTTATAAAATGGCGAATGCCATACTTTCAACGGCACCAAGACCATTAAAGCTTTGTCTGATAGAGAATATGCAATTTTTCATAGATTAATTGAAATAACAGATGCAGAAGCCCTGAGGAGTTACGCGTAGTCGGTGTAGAACAGGCTTTCTCCTTGTCTTTTAATTCTACAGAGAGTCTGTTCTATGTCGACTACGCGTAACTCCTTTGGCCTTCTGCATCAGGGTTATTGAAAACGAAACACACATACATCTTTAAAAGACGACATCTAGTGTCCTATCTGTTCTTTTAATTAATCTATGAATCTTCTCTTCCTATAATGTGGTTTCTCTTATAAGTGAATTGCGGATTTATGCATCCGAATCAATCTAGCATATTATTAGAATTTTGCACTTTCATATAATTGATCAGTCAAAGGATTGCTGGCATGAAGCAGTACCCTCATACAATGGAGGCTCTTTTAATTATGAAAAGTCATCCTAAAGATTTTAAATTTGAAGTAAAATTATTTTTCAAACTATGCCATACACATTTTTAAGATATATGTCAGTTACAGCAACTTTACAAAATTCTTAGCGACATTTATTAGGAAAAAAGAATGCATCGAAGACGACATGCATGTCACAGTTTTTTGTTCTGAACTTTACAAAAATAGCAGCAGACATTTTGGAAAACCCAAGACGAAGCCTGGCTGCAGCTTTGCGTTAACGGTGAAATCCGTTAAAATTTTTTATGTCACACTAAATCTGTTTAATATTATTTAAAACCAAAATCCTTTTAAAAACTTCTAATAAAGGGTACTTAATGTTTTGGTTCAGGATGGTTTAGACATATCAAAATATTGCCTATCATCGTTATGAATCCGCGGGGTAAAAATTCATTTCATGTTGATTTTAAAAACTGACATGATAAAACTGAGACATTTTTAATTCCAAAACTTTAACCACAATTTGATTGGATTTTATTTTAAACTATTAAACAGCAGATCTAATAAACTGTTCTTATGTATTCTGCAAGGTGTGCATTGTGCAATGTGCATTCAATATCTCTAAATTTTTTATCTCTAAGACAGCTACAAAATACAGTGATAGGCGATAATATCAATATAATTAAGACGAATTTTTATTTAAGTTGTAAACCTTAAAATTGTTTCCATTCTTTTTTGTTTATCCATGCTGTTTAAAAGCTTGAAATAAAACAAAATTGAAATCTAAAGTCGTCTTCTTTGTATTGATATAATCGACTACCACTGTATAAAAGTGCATGATATTCAACGGTATTTTAAATAAAAACAAAGCAAAGAATCTATACAGAAAAACAAAGAAACCTCAATAATTTTTGCTTAAACAGTTGTTTAGAGGTCACTTATTGTGAATCTGACTGATATCTTGACGTTAAATTTATATAATAAATATTGTTTAATAACAATAAATATTTTAATAACTGTTAGATGTTTACCGGAGCTAACACCATCCACGAAGCTCTCACAGGACAAACTGAGGAAAATCTGGCTGCTCCTGACCAGAAAACAGCTGCAATAAGTGGGAATGTTGCTGCTCCAACTTCAATAGCAAAAACTAGTCGGGATGTAAATACCAAAGAGAAAGCAACTGAAAACATCGCAAATGCAGCATTTAAGGTATTTATGAATGGATCATATTTGAAGTAAAAAAATAAAAGCAAAAATCTATTTTTGATAAAAGTGTAATATCGATTAAAAGGAATTGATGTAATTTCACGGGACCATCTATTTATAGTGTCTAATTTTCTACCGTACTCTTAAAACCATTCAATCAGAATAAGAGAATTATGATCGTTTTGGATTTGAAATTGACAATTTTTTTTCTGTGTATCTGGTTAAAAATCCGCAAGTAACTTTTACATAGAAAAGGTCAGTGATAATGATTTAATTGAGATTGATAACTAGGAAATATCCTTTACATTCTTGATCAGAATTGAGATTGATAACTAGGAAATATCCTTAACATTCTTGATCAGAATTGAGATTGATAACTAGGAAATATCCTTAACATTCTTGATCAGACACTGGTTTAATGGGTTTACCATTGTGAATCTGACATGATGTACCGGACCGACTGAAGGCATCTAGGGCAAGTTGTACAGTATACGTGCAGACATTTCACAAAATTAGTAATCCCCTTCTTGGGCTGTAACTAAAGGGTCTCTTGAAATTGTGCCTCTAATCCCTTTAACTAGTGGCTCAATATAAGCTGGTAAGCTAGACACATTTTCTATAAAGTTATTTAATAAACCTCGATTTTTTAGATTTTTGACAAGAATGGGGACGGATTGGTCTCTGTAGACGAATTGAAACAGGTTTCAGACGTGAAAATGAAATAAAAATAGTTTTTAATCAACTTTTTAAAATTTAAATGCGTTGTGTACGTGTTTGTTTTTAACTAAAAACACCTATCTGTGAAATGTAAACAAAACAGGTATTTTTCAGTAATTTATGATTCTGCACAATCGAGGATTATTTAAAACTGATTTTCTTGAATTTTACAAATCATAAATTGTAAAATTAAATTAAAATTAAAGTTTTTTTCTCTAGATTTTAACAAAATTTGGAAGTTTCAAGATGACAGATGACGAGATTACTGAACTCTTGGATATAGTTGATAAAGATGCAAATGGAATGGTTGATTATATAGAGTTGATAAAGGTTAGTATATAGTTGATTATATAGAGTTGATAAAGGTAAGTATATGGTTGNTTGGATATAGTTGATAAAGATGCAAATGGAATGGTTGATTATATAGAGTTGATAAAGGTTAGTATATAGTTGATTATATAGAGTTGATAAAGGTAAGTATATGGTTGATTATATAGAGCTGATAAAGGTTAGAATGGTTGATTATATAGAGTTGATAAAGGGAAGTATATAGTTGATTATATAGAGCTGATAAAGGTTAGAATGGTTGATTATATAGGTTTGATGAAGTTAAGTATATGGTTGATTATATAGAGTTGATAAAGGTTAGTATATGCTGATTATATTGAGTTGATAAAGGTTAGAATGGTTGATAATATAGAATTGATAAAGGTTAGTATATGCTGATTATATTGAGTTGATAAAGGTTAGAATGGTTGATAATATAGAGTTGATAAAGGTTATAGTATAAAGTTGATTATATGGAGTTGATAATGGTAAGTATATAGTTGATTATATAGAGTTGATAAAGGTTAGTATATAGTTGATTATATAGAATTGATAAAGGTTAGTATATAGTTGATTATATAGAGTTGATAAAGGTTAGTATATGCTGATTATATAGAGTTGATAAAGGTTAGAATGGTTGATAATATAGAGTTGATAAAGGTTATAATGTAATGGTTGATCATGTAGAATTGATAAAGATTTAAATANATAGAGTTGATAAAGGTTAGTATATGCTGATTATATTGAGTTGATAAAGGTTAGAATGGTTGATAATATAGAGTTAATAAAGGTTAGAATGGTTGATTATATAGAGTTGATAAAGGTTAGTATATAGTTGATTATATAGAGTTGATAAAGGTTAGAATGGTTGATAATATAGAGTTGATAAAGGTTCTAATGTAATTGTTGATCATGTAGAATTGATAAAGATTTATATAAAATGGTTGATCATAAAGAACTGATAAAGGTATAAATAAAACAATTAAGTTACCTGGTTAAAATTTTTATTAAAAAATGACCAAAGGATTGTGCGAATTATATATCTTGTAACTACATTCAATTATCCCAATAAAAAAGATAAAAATATGAAAGGAAGAGTCTAAATTGACTCTTTACCTTACCAAACAGCTTACACACATGCAAACAAACAATTCATAACAATTTTACGTTGAAATTTCTTTGTGTGCGTTGCAAAAAATTCATAATTCATTCGAATTAAAAAAAACCGCAAAATATTCTTAATTTAAATTGATCTGTACAGTCCTCTTAATTTTCTTATTTAGATGTTTGAAGATGAGGATGATCCAAAGCCTCCTACCAAACCAGAAATTGAGGTATAATCTCTTAATCTTTTCATAATATTTTTTAAAACTCGATCTTTAAAAATTCACTAAATAGCAGTAACATGTTTTGTTTTATGGCGTACATGAGTATACCAAGATTTCTTTGTTTTTCATTCAATTCAAAGATTTTCTGAAAAACAGAAAATAGGCTGAAAAAATTGAGAACCAACAAATTTAAATTTTTTTGTAATCGGATTGATTTAGCAATTGTACCAAAACTGTTAAAACAAAATAAATTGGGGGTTTGAAGAAAAAAATCTTCTTTTTTTTCTCGTGAAACCTTCAATGATGCTTAAATAATTCAGGATATTCCAGACGATCTTCTAGACTTAATAAACGAAGATGATTTTGTTGCAGCAGTATCTGAAGATATTGACGAGGCAGCTAGTCTTGTAAATGAATTAGATCTCCTAGAGGAAGAACTTGCTAAATAATCTTAAAGGATCTGTAAGCGTACTTATGATTAGAAATTCAGAGTTTGTGGCAAAGGATCAATTTCTTTAAAATTTAGTAAGCATATTTTCCAAAATATTTCCATTATGTGTCCGAAAAATTGGAGAAATTTTGCGAATTTTGGTGCAAATTTCTTTAGTTTTTGAAGAATTGTTCACTATTAACATGTTTAAAAATTAATACAATTTATTTATTTTTTCATTCATATTTTCTATGGAGCTTACAATGTCTAAATTTTCGGACTCTTCTTCAGGGTCTGAAAAAAAATCCCATCAAATTGTTTTATTCAGATTTGAAATTATTTTATTTTTTAGCTTTGATTTAGTAAAAATTACACTTTTTAAATTCGAATAAAATCAGTTTTCTTCACATTTTGTAAAAAAAGACGAGTGTTTGCTAGTACGTGTAACAATTCAGTGTTTTCAAATCAGAATGAGACCTGAAACTATTTTTTTAAAAACCGGATCGCAGTATTTGGTTTTATGTCCTGGGTAAATTCTTTTCATTGATGCTGAAACAGGAAAAAATGTGACAGTGGCAGATGTAAAACATAACTAAAGTTTAATCCTTTGTGATTAACACTGATACTGATCTTTTTCTTGCAAAGTATCAAAGCCATGCACGTATGGCATATGCTTGTTAAAAAAAGAAAATTATAAGTAGATCAAAATTAGCCAATGAAATTTTCGAAAAAGTAGCTGAAAAGTAAAAAAAAACATTTAAAAAAGTGAACATTTTCTTTAAATACTTTTTATTAAAATTTTACCAATAGATCTTCTTCTTCTAAACCCCAGTCCGGGAGAAAGAAAAGCCACAGGAATAGCTGCAGCCATAGCACCTTATACGGGTGGTCAGAAATTAAGGGATCATATAAGTTAAAACTATGATGCCCGCGGGGTATTTATGCTCTGAGCCCCCGTGACAAACTCCAGTATGCACCCCTATTTTTTTAGATAGATGACGACTCATTTATTGAGACAGTAATTATAGTTTCACATCTGAATTAAAAGGTGTCATAACATAAAATTAATGGATTTCTTTCCAGGGACTAATTAACATCAAAATCCTCCTTTTTAAAAGTAGTAGCATGTCCGATTGACTAAGATACCTGTTAAACTTTAATCTGAGTGACAATGAGAAATGTATTATCATTTTCTATCTGGAGAAAGGGTAAAGTCACACTTTTACAGAGAAACCACAATCAAAATATTCAATCTTCAGATAAAAGACAAGGATATCTCATTCAACAATGATCAGACAAGGATTTTCAGGGTACCGTTGTGAATCGGCAATATATATCTTTAAATGAAGGTTCGCTTGAAATATCGTCTATAGTCTCTTTAAAATAAACTGTTAATATTTGAAAATGTATATTGTTTACCTATTAATGCCATAATCCACATTTCTGCTTCACTGCAAGAGAGATTACAACTTTTTAAACTTTTCTAGATTTGGATGAATATATTTTTGTTAATGAGCATTTTAGATTTGATTAAGCAAAAATAAGCAAATTAGAGAGCTGGGCTTTTGAATTTTAATTAAATAAAAAGAAAACTTTGCAATTTTAAATTTCCATTTGCTTCTATAAAGTGTGTCATTACAGAGGGTTACAGTGATAACCAGAAAACTCTGGGAAAGTAAGATGGCTTTTAGACTCAAGTTACAACTTTAAATAGTCCCAAAAACATGAGACACAGCTATTGTCCAGTGTAAACAGACCTTTTCACTTTATGAGATATTTAATTACTTATATAGCTAAGCTATGTATTTTGTAAAAACCAGGGAACAAGAATAAAAACATTTCACTTCAGTTTTGCTTAAATGTTGTCTTCATATTCTACAGTTTTCACTGTAGAAAATACCATTTTTGCAACAAAAACATAAATAATGACGCAAAGTTGTTATTCCTATCTGCATCTGGGTTTCCAGTATCTAAACCTGAATATAAATAAATTAAGGGTTTAACTGATACATAGAAAAATTTAAATATTTTGTTCGTTAAATCGAAAACATTTAGAAATTGAGAACATTGTGTTCGGGATATCTTATAAATTCTCTTTGCACTATCGAACGAAACGTTCGTAATTTTGAATGAAATGTTAATTATTTTAAACAACATATTCGTAATTTTGAACGAAATTTTCCTTATATCAAAGACAATGTTCGCTATTTCGAACACAATATCGTTATTTAAAACACAGTGTTCGTTATTTCGAACACAATGTTTGTTATTCCGAACATAATTTTCGCTATTTCGAACAAATGTTAGTAATTTCGAACGAAACGTTCATAATTTCGAACAAAATTGTCGTAATTATGAAAAGAATGTAAAGATTTCTTCCATTACTTTTAATTAAACGATCTGAAGACTCCTGATTAACTAGCTGAAGGGAAGAGCCCTACGTTTGCCCGTGGTATTTCCAAATCACTTTGGAAATTTGAAATTTTGAAAATAAAAATAAAATTTTTTGTCAATAATATTAAAAACGTTCAGCCAAGATGTTCCATCCGTTTGGCCAGCTATAGCTAACATATATATATACAGTGTGTCCCAATAAACATGGGAATTTAGTGGGCGAAGAGCTTTTTTATATAGATAAATTATTTGATGTTTATTTATAAATTATAATTAAATGTCGTTATACCCAGCATCCTCCCTTTCACATCGTCTTCCTCTGCCTCTTTTCTCAGATGTAAACAGTTAATACAGGATATTAGTATTAATATTATACAGGTTTTCATCCTTATCTGTAAATACAAAAATCTATTATGTAACAAGCAAAATATGAATAAAATAAGAAGATTATAGAAAGATAAAATTAGTTTCCTTAATGCGTATTAGTTCTTGTTCAAGACTGAACAGTTTTGACAGTGGCCGGTTTACGAGATTTTACCAGATTTTCATAATTTCAAAATGTTTTCCCCTCCCCCCTCCTCCCTCCAGCCACAACTGCCTTTATACAAAGTTCTACAATAATTCCTAGGTCTGCATCAAGCCAGATACAACACTCTCTGTATTCTCAGTATGTATCGTACGATACATATACTGAGAATACAGAGAGTTTTGTATTTGGCTTGATACAGACCTGCAAATTATTGATAAGACCAAGATATGATAAGAGAAAACTTAGAGAGAGAAAATGTATCCAGAAGAAACAGTAACAGTGCAGAGTTAGGTATCAGAGTGTATTATAGAGTACCAGACTGTGCAGAATACCAGAGTGCAGGGTGAAACACATAAATCTGTGGAATTATTAAAAGAAAAAACCCAAGGAATCTTTTGTGTTTATGAATAAAGTGTGTTTAGTACTTTCCCAAGGGCGACTTCTCAATTGACAATTTCCCAAGTGCCAACTTCCCAAATGTGCAATTTCCCAAGCGGCAACTTCCCAAAGGTTAGGTTATACCGCCCTCAGAGGCACCACAGGCTGCATTTGAGGCCGAGCGCTGCGGCTTGGATGGGCTAGGGGGACTAGCGCTGTGGCTAAGATGGACTAGGGGGCCGAGCGCCGTGTCTAGAACAGTCTAAAGGCCGAGCGCTGCGACTCGAGCAGATTTTGGAATTTACCGCTTGATAAGTTGCCACTTGGGAAAATACGCTTGGGAAGTTACCACTTGGAAAAATACCCTTGGAAACTTGCCACTTGAGGAAAATCCTTTGGAATATTACCTATAATCGTTAATATAATGCAACCATACGCATTGTTTGCATTCAAATTAACTTATAAATTGCAGTTGTGTTTGTGCATTTGCAAATTATTTATTAAAATATTTGTAAAAAGTATTCAGAATTCAGACACGGACAAGGGGAATCCGCAGAGGCGTATTCAGAGGGGTTGATTGTGTTAGGTTAGTTTTAGCAATCCCGGGGGTGGGGGGCTAACCCAAAATTGATTTTTGCCCATCGGGCACATTTTTAGGCCCCACCCCCTACCTGGACAAAATCCTGAATACGCCTCAGAGAATCCGACTGTTAAATTAAAACAAAGAATTGGGTTAGAGAGTGATGCTAACGCAATGTCATTTCCGCCCAGTGCTCTGAATGTCAAAATGAATGTCATCTTCCTATTCGGACATTTTTCTGAATCTCACTGTAATTAAATTATGCTTGATTGGCAAGATATGCCGAAGGGGTTTTCTTGAAAGAGATTATCCAGATTTTACCAGCACACTACTATAGACACACTTCATCCTATCTGTGAAATAAAAAGAAGCATTACAGTTAAAAACAGGGTCGATAAACGACATAATTGTTTATTATCGTCGCTCTCTCCCCCTCCCCCCGTATTAAGATTTGCGCCATGAAGTGGTATTACTATATCACTGAAGACGTTGAACCCTACTGAAGAGTGTAATGTGTTAGGGTTGGTGAAAGTGGAGTAAAAATAGAGAAAACTGATATATTGTTATTGTAATGTGTGTCGAGTGTCGACCATTTAATGTTTGAAAGAAGAAATCTTGGCGTTACGAAAGAGGGATAGCAGAGTCACCATGAGCCCCGAGGAAAGACCTCTGTAGCCTCCTGCTACGCGGAATCACCTCCAAACACCACAAAACCGTCTCTCTACCACTAAAGGTACATCTATCTCCAAGCCGCCCAATTTTGATCATCCCTTACTGAAATTATTTTTCATTTACCTTTTATCCCAATAGCTTAACCAACCCAAAATAGAAATATATATTTCTTCATTATAGAATCCACATATTTCATTTAGTCCACGAACTTCTTTTTGATATTGCTTTTATTTTACGAAGAGAAGCAATGCGCACTGATGGAGCCTCAATTAAAAATTGAAGATGGGTGCGAAGCGCACCAACACCTTTGTTTCGCTACTTAGCGATTT